ACAAAGGAGCAAAAATTATACAATGGAAGAAAGAAAGCATCTTTAACAAATGGTGCTGACATAACTGGATGTCAACCTATAGAAGAATGAAAATAGATCCATATCTATCACCATGCACAAAACTCAAGTCCTAATTGTGTAAAGACCTCAATATTAATCTGACCACACTGAACCTGATAGAAGAGAAAGTGAGAAGTAGTCTGCAACATATGGGCACAGGAGACCATTTCCTACGCAGAACCCCAGTAGCACAGACAATAAGAGCAACAATGAATAAATGGGACCTCCTGAAACTGAGAAGCTTCTGTAATGTAAAGGAAACTGTCATTAAGACAAAAAGGCAGCCTACTGAATGGGAGAAGATCTTCACCAACTCCACATCAGACAAAGGTCTGATCTCCAAAGTCTAAAATGAACTCAAGAAACTACACATAAAAACTCCAATTAACTTAAAAACTGTAGTACTGAACTGAAGAGAGAATTCTCAACACAAGAAGTTCAAACGCCCAAAAGACACTTAAGGTCATGCTCAACCTTCTTAGCGATCAGGGAAATGCAAATCCAAACAACTTTGAGATACCATCTTATACCCATCAGAATAGCTACAATCAAAAACACCAATGATAGCCTATGCTGGAGAGGTTGTGGAATAATGGGAACACTCATCTATTGTTGGTGGGAATGCAAACTTGTGCAATCACTTTAGAAATCCGTGTGGCAGTTTCTCAGGAAACTGGGAGTCAACCTACCTCAGGATCCAAAAATTCCACTCTTGGGAATATACCCAAGAGATGCCCAATCGTACTACAACAGCATTTTTTTATCTATATTCATAGCATCTCTATTTGTAATAGCCAGAACCTGGAAACAGCCTAGGTGCCCCTCAATAGAAGAATGGATAAAGAAGGTGTGGCAATATACACTTTAGAGTTCTACTCAGCAGTAAAATCAATGACATCTTGAATTTTGCATGCAAATGGATGGAAATAGAAAACACTTTACTGAGTGATATAATCCAGAACCAAAAAGATGAATATGGTATGTTTTCACTCATAAGTAAATTCTAGCCATAAACAAAGGACATTGAGCCTATAATTCATGATCCTAGAGAAGTTAAATAAGAAGGTGAACCCCAAGAAAAAACATATGTTTATCCTCCTGGATACTGAAAGTAGAGAAGATCACTGGGCAAAAGTTCGGAGCCCGAGGGTGGGGGTGGGTTGTGGGGAAGTGGGGATAGGGAGAGAGAAGGGAGAATCGGAGGATTGAGGGGAGCTTGGGGGGATGGGATGGTTGAGATGGATGAATGGTGCATATAGGAACAAGGAACAAGGTATCTTAACTAAGGGAACCATTTTAGGGTTGGAAAGAAACTTGGCTCTAGAGGGGATTCCATGTGTCCACGGGGATGTCCCCAGCTAGGTCCTTGGGTAACAGAGGAAAGGGTTCCTATATTGGCCTTCTCCCATAGCTACACTGATGAATATCTTGCATATCACCATAGAACCTTCATCTGGTGATGAATGGAGATAGAGACAGAGACTCACATTGGAGCACTGGACTGAGCTCCCAAGGCCCAGGTGAAGAGCCGAAGGAGGGAGAACATGAACTAGGAAATCAGGACTGCGAGGGGTGCATCCACCCACAGAGACAGTGGGACTGATCTAATGGGAACGCACCAAGGCCAGCTGGACTGGGACTGATGGAGCATGTGATCAAACTGGACTCTAAATGTGGCTGACAATGAGGGATGACTGAGAAGCCAAGGACAGTGGCACTGAGTTTTGATTCTACTGCATGGTCTGGCTTTGTGGGAGACTAGTCTGTTTGGATGCTCCCCTTCCTAGATAGACCTGGATAGAGGGGGGAGGTCCTTGAACTTCCCACAGGACAGGGAATCCTGACTGATGTTAGGACTGGAGAGAGAGGGGGAGGGGTGAGGAAGGGGGAGGGAAATGGGAGGAGGGGGAGGATGTGGAAATTTTTAACAAAAAAAAATCTTGAGAACATTAGGGGCAAAGGATCATGATTATTCAGGTGGGCAGCATTTTTATTAGAATAAATTACTTGAAAATAAAAACAAAATTGAAAAGCAGTTAAGAGCTACTTCTTTCATCCAGGATATGAGAATTACCACTGAACCCATTGTGTTACCGAACTGGTCTTTCAAGTTTATAGGTGTCATAACTGTGTTGGACTGTTAGTTGCTTCCCTCTAAGGAAGATTATGCTTTCATAGCATTTTTAAATCATATTTATCCTTGCTTGATTTGATTTTTTATAAACGTTAACAAATAAATACAACATGTAAATGAGTTCCAGATGCAACATCTCTCTTTAACCCTGCTCAGCTTTAACTAACTAGGAAGTCCAGATTCACCTCTTTTTTTTGGAGGGGGGCTAGGTCATTTTAACAGCTTTATTAAGCTACAGTTGTCATCCAGTAAATTGCACATAGTTAAAGTTTGTACAGTAATTTTGACATGGGGTTATGTAAAGATGGGGTTACCCAAAGATGATAAATATAGCTAAGTGCTGGGTGTATAGCTTAATAATAAAGCATGCACTGTACAAGGCTCTGGAGTTATCTGCTCCACAACACAAGAAACAGATTCACCTCTTTCTTCTCTCCCATTCCCTTTTTTTCTCTCATCCCCATTCTATTTCTTGTGTTTTCTTTGACTCATTCTTGTTTTCATATTATCACTGATTTCAGTGGATGTTAACTTTTATATAGAGCAAAGTGATGGAGTCAGGTAAAATCAAGAAGCAAATTCTTTTTTTACTACCAGGTTAATTTCCATAGCAGTATAGTCATATAAAATTTAAGAGTAAATGAGTAGACTAGTATTTACTGTGACTAGGACATTACTAAGTTGTCTTGGCTGATTCTGTTCTACAATTGTTTCTTCTCTTTTCATAATAATAGTTTGAGTTAGAAGAATAATTCTTTAGTATCAATAAAAATGTTTCAGGATGACATTTAAAGGATTTTCAACAGACATTCTTGCAAAAATTTAAACATCAAATGTAAGTTGTTTAGTAAAACTGTAATACAGGCATATATGTAATTCTATTCCTAGATGCATCTAATAAAATGTTAGCATATTAAGAAATTCAAAATTAATACAAATTTTACACAAATTTGTAAAATTTTAAATTTTTAAAATTTCCATAATAGAAATTTTATATAAATTTGTTCTGTGATTTCATAAGTAAATTTCACTTAGATTTTAATAAAACGTTTGTCACATTTAGATACATCTTATAATTCTGTTATGTTCTTTACCTGGGATATGCTACAATTGTTGTCAGCATCATGTTAAATTCATTCAGATTTTGCCTTTTCTGGTGTCTTGGGGTTGCCTGCATTCCTATGATGGTTCCTTTCACCTTTTGAATGTTCAGGGAAAAAAAAAAACCTACCTTTCTTTATGAATTCTTTTCCTAGTTTAGTCCTCCTGTGACTCGAATGTCTTCCTAAATTTCCCTGTTTTAAAGGGACCTGTGATGATGCTGATGCCACTCAAATGACCCCAGGACAATTTACATTCAAAAAATGCAATATGAATATGCTGACAAATTCAGTTTTCTGTGTTCGAAAACTGAATGTGTAAGATTTTGGTATTAAAAGAGTTTAAATTGCTTCTTTTATGTTTTTGGTATTGTAATTCCATTCCCTTTCCTTTTTTCTCTTTCAAATCCTCCCATATATTACTCTCTCTTTCTCATATATATATGTATGTATGTATATATATATAGAGAGAGACATAAACACATATATTATTTCTAAAAGGAACATGCTCACATAATGTCACTTATATGCCTAATACAATGATACCTAAGGCCCAAGAACTAGAGGGGAAGAGGGGGTAGAAAGATTGTAAGAGTCTAAGGGTCAAGGGGATTCTAAAATTCTAGGGATATTAGAAACACTTCTAAGTTGTCACCAACATGATAGTCTAAAGATGAGCTGAACAAAGCAATCAATAGCCAGGGAAACTCTATGAGTCCTAATCTCTACACAAATAAAAACTTCAGGAAATAAGCAACTGAGGAATACTGACAGTGGGAGAAATAGTCTTCCTTAGACTTTTTTTTGGTATGGTCATTGTGCTTATCTCACAAGTTATGTCTTCCATCTTCAAATATTGCCATAATTTCTTATATTTAACTCTGAGCAAGAAGTCGACTTTCTACTAATGTCAATGAAGTGCAAAAATTGAACCGTAAGTAAATAGCAGATGTGAAGAATTTAAGTGCAGTACTAAAATAATATGTGTCCAGCCTTTTCAGTTTAAGAAATAGAATGCTTTGACTCTGTGTGATGGCACAGGCTAGATGAGGAAGGAAAATTGTCAAGACTTACAGTTCACCTGAAATCACAGTAACATTTAATCTTCAAAACATAAACAGAAAACAAAATAAAAATAAATATTATACTGTAAGGATAATTAAAGCTTATTATATAGCTATGCCAAATCGTGTACCTCTAAGCTATTCATAGTTACAAACAATTATGTGGTAAATTAAGTAGTACATATATCATTTTTATTTTACTTTTAGTGCATGCATATACAAATATTAAAGTCTTTTAATTTGTTCATTTTTATTCATTTATCCATGGCAATTTACTTTAAATAGCAAGATTTTCTGGACTTATTCATAATGATATTCATAGACATGTTCAACTTACTTTGTGGTTGTATGTTTTATATGTGAAGGTATTACAACTTGTTTAACTGTTGTAACTTATTGTTGTTCTTACACTTATTCATTTTTGACATTTTCTTATTCCCTTACTGACATGAACAAAATGTGTATGTGCTTTCTCTGATGTTAAAAATAAAGATTCCTTAAAGACAAAAAAGTATGAAATTCTTAAATGAGATATGAAAATTCATTTTATTCGGAAATAAATATGTGGTGTTTAACAAAGAAGAGTTGAATTTTCTGAAACTGTCTTCTAATGACAAACAAACAGTAGTTTACACTTATTACCTCGCCTGCTGTTCATCTTGCTCTGATGAAGCACTGTCATCACAGATATCAATCGCGAGGTTTTCTACTACACTGAAGAGAAAGAAAATACAAAATAAGTTGTCTATGGAATTTCTAGGCATCCTAGACAGGAAACATACTTTTAAATCCAGCATGTGTGTACAAGTGAGATTAAAACAGGTATATACCTGGGGATATTTTAGTTAGGCGTTTGTACAAGCCTTCCGGGATTAAAGTAATTTCAAATCTTTCCAGGAGACAAGCTGGAAGTGAGGATGGGTTAAGCTAAAAGTCCTGAAGTTAGAAGATCAAGGGGGAACCTAAAGTCAACAAACCAGTTTTGGATACATAGAAATACCCGTTTTCAGAGTTGGAAACATCCTGCAATCTGAAGCAATGATCCTGGGTCTGAACTGCCCTTATGCATCACCTGCCAAGAGATCAGTCAAACTGTCCCCTGGGGTACGTGCAGCCTTTCACAAAACCCTCTGATTGTACCTAGCCTTTGGGGAACACTGGGCTTCAAGTCATCATCAAATTGAGAATCGGGAGAATCCCTCGGGCACTTTGGAGTTTTGCTTGTAGACTTCTTCTCCTTGGGTGGCATGTCTATTGTGCCCCGGTTTTTGTCCCAACTCTTAAACCTTGTGATTGCAACGACATACAAAATTCCCAGTAATTAAATGAGAGTCACAGAAACAAGTACCAGGGTCCATGGGAAGAGAGACAGGGCATCGTCTCTCTGTGCTGGAGCAGGGAGGTTCATGGAAGATTACAATAGTGTGGTACCCTATCTTGTCTCTTCTCCACTGATGAATGTGAAGCTGACTCTGTCCTGCACACCTCCACTTCTACCGCTTCTGCTGGGTTCCTGCGTTTGGAAGGGAGTGGGGGCAGGCAAAATTGTAGCCTGGAGACCTATCTCTGGCCAGCCCTGGCCTAGTTGTTTGTTTGGTGGCCATATTGGAGTGTGGTGCACTGGATTTCCTTTATTTTTGTTTTAGAAAGGACAGAGGGAGTGCACCCATGCCCTGTGACAGTTGGCATTCTCGGTGTACTGCTGCCATCAAGCAGAATTGTTTTTCTGATCCCGCCAGCAGCTCCCCAGTGCTTCTGCTGACATGGCTGAGGGCTGGCTAAAGAGTAGCTCCCATAGTGCCCCCACTGTGCCTCAGTCAGTCTCCTGCAGTCTCTGTGACCCATGAGCGGTGTGGGAGCAACCGGACCCAGGGGAACTGCGTGCCCACCACAGCCCTTGGTTTGCTGGGCAAGGGAAGCACAGCCTCTCAGGTCCTGAAGTCACCATGTCTGGCAAGGTTAGAGAACCTCCCTGCAGGGGATTCTGCATCCTGGGTTGCCTCTGGGTTCCTTTGGAGACCTTGTGGAGCCTGGCAGCCCACATCATGTGCACAAGCCCTCCCAGGGAACCTCTAGCTTTTGGCACAGTCTCCCCAGCAGAACACACAACTCCTTCCCTGAAACCGCACACAGTGCCCAGCATCTCTGGCCAGGTGCTCAGGGTCTCAGGGCCAGGTAACCATTATGGCAAAATGTCTGTCATCCACATAACTTCCTCCCTGTCATCCTCTCTCCTCTCTTTCTGCAGGGCCCTCCTTTCTTTCCTTTGCTTTCTCTGAGAAATGGCTTTCTCCTTGAGCCATGCTGTGCTTGCAATTCAGGGACCTGTACCTGCCACTGATCCACAGCTACATCCCCAGAACCCTACAAGGGGTCTGACAGAAGGCACCTGCCACCAACATCATCATGTACCTCCTTCTTGTGCGTACCTAGTGGGCACCAAGCTCAATGCGGTGTGGTGGCTTAGGGCGAATCCAAATAGAAGTAGCCAGATCATGATGTGGATTGTAGGGTTCCCAAATTGACCAGGCAGGCCTCTGGGTACCATCCAGCCCAGGTTTCACTGCCCTTGCCCTCCAAGACAACCCCCCTCTCTTTGATAAGGGGCACCCATGCAGGTGGCATATACCTGCCTTCTGCTGTCTAGGCTACCCTACATAATACCCAGGGAGAAGTCACAGGGTCAAGGATCCAAAAGCCCCTTCTCCTGCTCTGCACTGTCTAGGCATCATCTCAGCTACAAGAATATGATGGGGGAGAGTCTTCTGTTTTGTATTAATTTCATTGGTTAAATACAGACACTGCCTTGGCCCTAATAGGATAGAAAATTAGGTAGGCGAAGTTAGACAGAACAGAATGCTGGGAGAAAGAAGCCGAGTCAGGCAGTCGCCATGATTCTCCCACTCAAGACAGATGCAGGTTAAGATCATTCCCGGTAAGCCAGCTCGTGGTGCTACACAGAATATTACAAATGAGTTAGATCAATATGTAAGAGCTAGACAATAAGAGGTTAAAACTAATGGGCCAAGCAGTATTTAAAAGAATACAATTTCTGTGTAATTATTTCGAGTAAAGCTAGCCAGGTGGCAGGAAGCAGTCCACAGCTCCACACAATAAGAATACTCAGAGAAGGCTATGAAATTAACAGAGGGTGAGACCTAGCCTCCTTGAACTTTAAACTCGTGTGTGTGTGTGTGTGTGTGTGTGTGTGTGTGTTTGGTTTGGTTTATACTTTATCCCTGGCTTGGAGACAAGTCCTGGGAGAGACCATAAGAAGTTCCTCAGAGGTATGTAACAGTTCTGTTGGTCAGCTCAGGGTTAAAGGCGTATGGCACGTTGGCACATAGGTGAAGACTTTTAAGGCTCCATCCTTCAGTTCCAGCTCATGTGGTCATAAGCATGGAGTGGCCCAGTACATGGTGCATGTTTGTGGGGTGGCCGGTATCTTTACATGCAGCTTGATGGATGAGAGAATTTTGTAGGAATCATATGGAAGTGGCAGTACCCTCGTTCTGATTGGCCTGATTGGCATTTCTAGGAACTCAGAGCCCACCGCCCAACACAGACACCCCTCAATATATCCTGACAGACACACACACAGGATAACTTAAGCTAGACAATCCCTCAAAGACATGCACATAGGCTCCTTTTATTTATTATAGGTCCTGTTGGCAATCCACATAAAACATCACATCATATAAATTAAAATTATCAAAGAAATGTCAGATCTGGACTAGATGATACATAGATTAGATTTAACTCATACTTAGAGAATATTTTAGTAAATTAGAATGGCATACACATTCTTCTTGGCACCCTATGGAATCTCTTCTAAAATATACCACATGTGTTGGTTTTCTCTGCAACTTAAATCTTAACAAATGAAAAACAATAAATACAGTTTGAAGAAATAAAAATAGAAGTCAAAAAAGCACAGAAACTATACAAATATGCAGATGATGAACATACACATACTTTATGAGGCTTAAAAGTTAGCATACAAAGTGAGATTCATTATGACATTTTTATTCACTCCCTTTTATTATTTATTTTTATGTGTATGGGTATTTTGCCTGCACATATGTCTGTGCATCACATACATGCCTGGTGCCTGCAGAAGTCAGAAGAGGGTATCATATCCCATTAGGACTGGAGTTACAGATAATTGTGAGCCAACATGTGGATCTGGAAATCAAACCCAGGTCCTCTGGAAGAGCAGCCAGTTCCCTTAACTGCTAAGCCATCTCTCCACTCTTCCCTTTTCCATGTTGGTCTTCCTTTTGTAGTGACATCCCAGATCCCATGACTCCCTCCTACTGGTTCATTGCTTACCTCAATAGTCATCCTGTGCTGGTGTGAGTGAGTGACATGTCTCCTACAGACTCAGGCATTTCAATACTTGGTCCCTAGTTTTTGGCTGTTTGGGGGTGTTTTAGGAGGCATGACCTTCCTAAAGGAAGTATGTCCCTAGGGGTATGTTGTTTTGAAAGCTGAAAGACTCACACCATTTCAAGTTCACTCTCTCAGTCTCTTACTTATGGTTTGAGATATGAGCTCTCAGCTCCTATTCCAGGTATCATGCTTGCTGATTGCTGCCATACTTTTCCACCTTGATGGACTCATTTCCCTCTGGAACCATAAGACAAATAACTTTTTCATTCCACAAGTGCCTTGGTTAATGTGTTTTATCTCAGTAATAACACAGTAACTAGTAAACACCCCTTTATGTCTTATGTATTCTATTACACTTCTTAATTTTACCCCTGTAAATCTCTTTTCTCCTCTCATGCTTCATTTTCTAGTTTTATGTCCTTTACCATATAACCACACATATGTATACTAATATATAAAAATTAAGTCTCAATTCCACATATGAGAAAAAAAACTCTGATAATTCTCTCTTTCCAAATCTGTACTTCTTCACCTAACATAAGAACCTGCAATTCTGTTTCCCTCCAAATGCCATGATTTCAACAATCTTTTCAGTAGAATAAAATTCCATTGGGATATATATATATTATTTTATCTATTCATCTTATAATGGAAAGGAATGGTTCCATTTAACTTTTATGAATATTATGGCAATAAACATGAATTGCAAGTATGTCAGATGTAAGACTTAGGGTCTTTTGAGTATTCGTCTAGAAGTATTTTAGTTAGGTTTTATAATACTTCTTTTTTTATTTTTGAAAACCTATGTGCTGATTTATACAGTTGGCACCAGTTTACATTCCACCGGGTATACAAACAGGAAAGGAAGAAGCCAAATTTTCCTTATTTTTAGATAATATAATCTATCCCTTAAAGTCTTCAGTAGAAAACTCACATACAGACACTTTCAGCAAAGTAGCAGGATACAAAATCAACATAAACATCAGAAGATTTTCCATATAACATGCTAAGAAAGAAATAAAGGAAATAAAATCAATTTTTAATAGCATTAAAAATAATAGGTGCTAAGAGATAGTTCAGTGTATAAAGCACTTGCCACACATATGAACAAGAGTTCAAATCTGCAGTACCCAAAATGGTAAGTGTGGCTGCTCATCTGTACTTTAGAGACCAGAAATCACAAGGGACCTGCTAACTAGCTAGACAAGCCAAATCATGTTTGTTTCAGTAAAAAAATAATGTGTAGAGTCTTCAATGACAACCAAAATCAACATGGGGTCTCTACATGTGCATACACACATACAAACATGTACCCATTCACA